AACTAAAAAATAAATATTAAAAAATTCTCACTCTCTCTCTCAATTCTCTAAAAAAAGTTGTAGATGGACACAATACCTTTATTTTATTTGTTTATTTTCATGTGGTGCCAGGATCGAACTCAGTGCCTCACACATGCTAGGCAAGTGCTCAACCACTGAGCCACAACTCTGGCCCTAAACCAAATTCTTAAGACTCTGTTTAGCCCTTCCTTCCTTCCTAGGTTAAAAATAAAGTTTACTTTGCTTAAGGCCTCCTTTGGTACACCTTTTCCAGGCCTATATCCTTTTATAAACTTATTTTTTTGGCCAAGTCTGGTAGAAGGTGTACTTGGCCTTGGCCTGGCTCAATTCCTATTTTGTTGTCCTTGGATTGGAATTACAGTCAGATGACTTTAGAGGTCTCTCAGGGACCTGCATTCACCTTAGGGAAGCTATACTTGATTTGTTTTAGGTTCCTGCTGGATATGACATAGGATCTAGTGAGAGAATGACTTGCCTCTCAGAAGCTTGTGTCTTCTTTGGAAGCCAGTGATTAAACACAGTCTACCTTTGCCAGATTTTAAGATTTAGTTCTTAAAAGTTATTAAGTGAGGCCGATATTAGTCAAATGCCTACATTTCAGTTGTTCCATGATTGTTGATTTCAGTTTGGAGTATTTAGAACCACAGGGCTGAGTTCTAAGAGTGGCAGGGTCCTGTAATGGCCAAAGGGAGTATATGCCAGATCTCAAGGTGTTTTCAGTATGTTCCTAGGGAATCAAATGTAACTTTAGAAGATAAGATGGCAACTATTACATTTCTCAAATATTATACTTAGAATATTTGCTAGGGTGCCATTCATGGGATCTCTTATAGCTGCTGCTGCTGCCGCTTTTTTTTTTTTTAATATTTTTTAGTTTTCAATGGACCTTTATTTTATTCATTTATATGCAGTGCTGAGAATCGAATCCAGTGCCTCCACATGCTAAGCAAGCGCTCTACCACTGAGCCACAACCCTCTTGTAGCTTCTTGTGAAAGGTTAGTCTTGATTGTTGTTTATTAGTGTGATGGATAAGTCAGGTCAAATTTTACTAGGCCATCTGTGGTCTACTCTGTGGACTGAACTAGCTGGGTAAGTACAAAGTGCTTCTATGGAATGCTGAGAGAATGCCTGAGCAGTGAAAAAGTCTGGAGATTCCTCTTGCTAAGTTTCATTCCCCAGCGAGTGTGGGATTCCTTGATTTCTAAAGTATTTTCATTTGGCAAAATACAGTATGCATGTGCATTCATTTATATTGGTCACAGAATCAAAAAATGTCAGAGCTAGATATCAGAGATAGTCTAGTTGCTGCTTTTAGCAGCAGATGATAATGATTAATCTTTGTAGATGACCTTAAAATTTTTTAATGTGTATATATATATTTTATATATATACACATATATATACATGCTCTTTTTTTTTTTTTTTTTTTT